AAATGCGCGCCAAAACGCAACAGCTGCGCTATCTGCGCCAGGCCTGTGACCGAGGAAACAAAGTTGGTCCCCATTCTATTAACTTATGATGAGGCACGTTATATTTTACGTGGAATCCCGTGGAATCCATTCCTACTGATTTTAGGCAAACTGGTGTGGGTGATCTGTTCTGCAGCCTGTATTATATTTAGTACACCCCATGGAGTATGTATGGTTCTGTATGGTCTCAACTTTTATTAAAAATAAAAGATTATAGGGTGCAAATTGCGCGAAATATAAATCTGTCCTTAGTTTCTCGATTGGTTAATTTAGATTGAATTATTTTGTTGTATCTGCACTTTTGAAGCGAGACGTCACATCGTCGTTCAATATAGATTCTTTCTTTTACTCAAGATTTGCACATCTCCAAAAGTATGTGTGCTGGTGTATATTGTAAAGTTCCATTTGGTATGACCATGTTGCCTTCAAATATTGTATAAACATGACAATGAGTATTTGTGTTCTGCTAAGTTGTTACAGGCCACATTATTAAATAAAAGACTAAGTTTTCCCATACTACCTACAAAACATCTCAGTGTAGTGATCTGTATCTTCTTTTTTCCTCTTTTCATAAACCCTTGTTAATATTATGTTCACAGATTGGAAACATCGGAAAAGTTTATGGGGTCAAATAGCCCTGTTGTTTCAGCTGACAACTCCCAAGATAAAAAAATTGAAAAATCAGCACATGTCATTCCTCAAGATGCTTCAAACGGCAAGGATCAACAAGTAAATGTATGCTTAATGGAATAAACTCTGTAGCAGATAAGTTATTTAATATCAATTCATGTCTTTGTTTATCTGATAAGTCATGTCTTAATATCAATTCTTGTTACTTTGAAAAATTCATTACCTTACAAATGAAATTCTATGACTATTGTACTAGCTACTGTTGACTAGTACATTTTTATAAGCATTACAACGTTGTCCACTGAGTGGGGCAAAATACTTGAAAATGTATTTCAGATACAAAATACTTTGTCACACATATTTTAGATATTAAATCAAAATATTTACATAAAAGCATTTTAGATACAAAGTAGTATTTTAAAACACTTTTGAAAATACAAAATACAACTGTGAAATTCAGTCTTCTGTATGCAATTCTGTAAAATTAAAAATTTATAATATTACTGCTTATTTGAATGATTGATTAGTGATCCCAGCCACGTCAACAGCTAAGGTTATTAGTCCCATAAGCATAGTGCATTTTTTCTCCTCTGGAGGTGTTTTTGATCTTCCCCTGCCATATGGTGAGATCTGGTGCTGACCTACCGTTGGCTCTTTGGGTCTTCTCCAACAGGTATCTCGCATCAGAGGACACCATCCCAGCCGGGACAAGCTTTAAGCTCCCGACTGGCCTCTCATCACATGTCTTAGGGTAATACATGCCCATAAGGGCTTACGATTGGACAAGGAAGAGGAAGGAAAGGTTGTGCACAGTTCTTGGCCTGTTTGTTAGGATACTACCCTGGCATCTACCATGGTCGGAGAAACCACGAAAAACTACCGACCAGAGCAGCCAGCCACAAGAATACTCCTCCAGGCAGCAACTGAACTTGATCTAGTTAGTGTTGAAAATCCTACCACTTCGGAACTTGAACCAAGGACCCTCAGTCGGAGGCACTGCATTGACATCAGTTGATGCCCTGAGCCACCTGTCCCAGTTTACTGCTGATTATTTTAACTTCAAGTGTGTCTTAAAATTTGTTGTCACATTGTAGGAACCACTTATTCTGTTTTGCAGACTTACAAATTTCACATGACGCTTTCACATTTGTGCATAACTCTTCAATTACATTGAAGTGATGTTCCCCTTGATGGGATGATTGAGGTTTCATTTGATTTATCAATTTGACAGATGACAGATAAGGAAATGTAGATGATCTGTAGGAAAAAGAAGTAGAGAAGAAAACTGACTGTACAATCTGTTCAGTTGTCAACTAATGGAAAATATATAATATTGCGAATGAAGAAAATATGTCACAACTATAATTTTGATCTTACTTTGAGATTACTTAAATAAAATTTGAAATGTGTCCAAAAGGAAGTAAATGCAATAATGAGTAAATGAATACACATGGGACTGAAACAGGAAACCCTACTTAAAGAAGTACGTTATGATGATGTTCGGCTACTGACAAAGGTGGCTCAGGGCATAAATTTGTCACTGCAGTGCCTTAGACGTGATCATTCCATCCTCTTCCTTGCCGTATCCTCACCAGTTACTTGCACCACTTACACTCATGCTTGCACTGCATGACCATACTTGCCGGTAGCTAAGAGCTGGTTCCAGTTGAGGCCGTGCTCTGCTAGTGGGTGGGAGATGACACGCTCAGAATTATCAAACAGTCAGTCAATCAATCATGATGTAGAGCATGTGAATATGAAGAGAGAAACCAAAGCCAGAAGGAGATTCAAATTGTGCAAAAGCCCTGCAGTTTACAAATTTAAAAAATGCAATGTTCATCTCCATTCATTGTTTTCAGATGTCTCATGTCAAGATGAATTGATATGCCCTGAGGTCCCAAAATTGTGTATATGCAGCATCGTGTTGTACATTGACTATTGGTTCAAAAAAATTATAAAAGAGTATTTTTATCCTTTCTAGTGCAATATTAGAGTAAATATATATTATTATTATTATTATTATTATTAAAAAAATATTGGATTAAAGTTTCAATTTTATTTTCAAAAGCTGGTTTACTTATTTATAATGTTTGTGGTTGTAATAAATTGTAAACTCAATTATTTGGCTTTCTTAGTTGCTATTGTTTCTATTTAGGTTTCTCGAGCTAGCAGAAAGAATATTCCCGATAAAGAATCATTTCAACGCATTAACTATCTCCTTCAGGTAGAGACTTTGATTTACAATTGTTTTTTTTAAATGATAAATTGTGACAGTTTTATTATACTATACATTTTGCTTTTATTTGCTTAAGGCTTCACAGATAATAACTGCCCAGAGTCCAAGAGCTAGAAGTGTAGCAGCATATTACTGTTCATTAATACACAACATAGCACAGAAATCTTTAATAAGGTTGTAAGTATCAGTTCTGTTTCATTCATTATCTATATCACAAATTTTAATAGCCTAAAGATTATATGGTTAATTTTTTTGATGTCATGTGATTTGGTAAATGTTTAAAATAAATTGAGTTTGAGTTAATGAATTGTCATAATCTTCATGAGGTTTAGTGATCATTAAATGGTGTTTGTCCCGTAATGTTAATTGTAATGTTAATTTCACATTTGCTGTAGATACGGTTTTCCATTTTCTTTGATATTGTCATTTCTATTGTAATGCTGTGAATGTCTAAAAAGGAATGATGCACTTTTCATTATGTTTATTAAAGGAAAGAATAAAAGTTAATGTCAATTTGTTAACATGCTGCAAATATTACAGACATCCAGATGTTAAAAGGATGATGTGCAGAGGTTGCAAGTGTTTACTTTTTCCTGGAATTAACGCTCAAGTGACTGTTAAATCAAAACCAATGAGCCAAGTTCTTTGGACATGTTTCTTATGTGGAACACTTAGAAGATTACCTTCCAAACGTGGATATGAACTTTGGGTCCAAAAACCAGAAGCACTTATATGAAGTAATGGAAAGCGTTAACTGCTGGAATGAATACAAGAAATGTATTGTAAACATAAAAAATAAGTATGGGGGGGAAAATAGTTAATAAAATGTACACAACCTATAACTGAAAATATTTCAAATTATTTCCTTATCATTACAATTTTTCTTATTAACCATGAAGTAACATTTATTAAGTAGTTTTGATATTCACCAACATCAGGAAGAGTTCTCTACAATGGACACGACTTCAAGACAATGGATTGAAAGTACACTTTGAGGCACTTGATTAGCTGGGCATGAATTTCTACCTGGGATGAATTAATACACAAGACTGTGCTTAGGGCAACTACTGCCTAGAAGCCCTCAGTTATATTATTTACAAAATTTAGTCTCAAAAAAATCTAAATTGACTTTGCGGTGCCATAACCAAGAGGAAAGCTATAATTACTACATGCGCTCCCTTCAATATTGAAAAGAACAAGGTCCTCATAAATTGCATTAGAAATTTGTGTAGTCAAATGCTCTGGAGGATTTTGAACTTTAGACCCTGATTATCCTTTCTCCTGAATCTTTTATATTTTTAATATTATTAAAATCTAAATTGTAAAGGTTAGTTTATTTTAATTTTCACTTTGATCACATATTGTTTATATATCCATAAAAAAGAGGGGCTATATTGTTTGGTTATTTTAAGGTCCCTTAAGATACTATGCCAGGCCTTGTTTCAGGTGTACCTCAAAAGGAAACCACAAATCATGTCCACATGCAATGAATTCCGTGTGTGATATTGATAATTGACTAAAAAATATTCTTGAGTTTCTTCCATTCAGATTTTATTAATTAGTCGAGAATGTTATCTACATCTTGTCGGTAATGTACTAGGCTGATGCCTGGATGTAAGTTTTTATTTCCTCTCAATGCTTGTATTTAAAAAAATTGAATTGTGAACTATATGACATAGAAATTTCATGTAAGTAAACAGAAGAAATTGAATATTTGAAAATTTCTCCTCATATATTATGAACTAGCAGAACCCGACAGATGTCTTGCCCTCCATCTCCTTCTCGTTCTCTCTCCCTTTCTCACTCTGTCTCTGCCCCTATCTGTTTGGGCACATTCTCATAGAATTATGTCTATATTCTCACAAGTGCAAGCAAAGTGACAAAGTTTTATCGCAATTGAATGAACGGTTCAGCAGCGCATAAAGCACGAACCAAAAACAAACAAACATTGTCTTTTATATATTAGATATACAGTTCTGCAGTTATTAAAATATCATAAATATCAAAAACATTGCCACTCAATAACAACCTGTGTGTAGCAAATATTTAATGACAGGCAGGCTTTTCCATGGAACCTTGCTGTCACATATCAGCTGTCTTAAGTAGTGATTATAAGAATTCAGTTTGTGCATGTAGTATGAGAATACAGGAAATAACTCGGTCAGATATTTGCATTTTCTGACAGAATGAAAACTTATTGTATTTAGATTTTCCCTGGATTTGTGGGTATTACATGGTCGGGTCGGAGGCAGCCTAGTTTTCTTTCAATTTTTGCACATATTAGATATTACTAATTTAGTGTGATCAAAACTGTTTTTAATGACTGTTGAAACAAAGATTAACATTCATTGTTTTTGAGCTTAATATATTCCATAACACTGCTGAAATATTTCAAAGAGGAATTTCATTTGTATACTTTTTACATAATCCACTATTTTACTTTCAAAACTCCATTACAACAAATTGCATTTATTAATAGAAGATTTTCAATTGCTTGGGGACCTTAGAATGTGTTTCTTGAGATTTGTAAGTGGTTTTCAGATCGTCACAAAACAATTAGGAGTTATCCTGTCACACAAGTAATGAAAACCGACTAAGAGATGTTTCTGTAGAGTAGGTAACAAGAAAAAAGTATAACATTTTATGTATTGTTTTATTGAATAATGCATTACAATTGTGAACCCCTACAAGAAAGGGGTAAGGAAAGCTGTACCATCACAGATCTCTGTCACAGTCAAGAATATCTTCACCAGTTTAACTAAATACAAGTGACATGATGTTATCACATGGCAGTGAGAGAAAGAAGAGAGAACATTTATTTAACACAAAAGATTTTTTTGCCACAAAAGTAAGCACAAAACACAGGTCAAAATGTAAATGGAAGCAATTTTCTCACAACAAAATCAATTTTAAAAGTTTCACAATTACATATAGGAATTCAATTTAATGTTTATCACAAATTAATAACTTTGTTACATCTTCAAAAAATTATATTAACTTCTAAATCAAGGACTGATTCAAGAACACCTTCCACACTAAGAAAACTTTGAGTCTTGAAATTTCAAGGCATGTCAAAATATGAGAAAAATAATAAAGATTAAAATGAAAGTTAATGGAATTGTATTAACCAATGTTTTTATTACAGTTATTAACAAGATACCATATGAAAACATTACAAACACTGACCAAAGCAGCTCCAGTAAAGATTATGAAGAAATACGAACTGGTGCAACCACTTCACAAATTACTTAGGAGCAATTCTAATGGTGACATTTATTCCTTTCATGTCATATGTTCAAACAATTAAAATTATGGTATATTTTCTTAATAACACAGTAAAATGCTATGACAAGCTCATATTATTTTACAAGAAACCCACAGAAATTAATAAAAATATTCAATTCTTCCTGATTATTTTTAGGTGGAAGAGCATCTGGATTTTGCAATATTCAATAATTATGCTTCCAATTCAATTATACATTCATACTTCAGCACTCAATTATCTGTTATCACAATGTTCCATACATCAAAGGTTTTTGATACCAACCCTTCACATTCAACAAATTATCTGAATGATTTGCACAAAAATTATAGGACAATAATTACAAGATTTCAGTAATTCAGAAAATAAATCACTGTTAACAATATTAACGCATCAGTAGTTAATACTCCAATCCCTCACTTGCTTTTCGTTGTAACTAACACTATTTCCTAGTGAGGACATCAACTGCACATTGTAGAGCACTCAGATTTCTTGATTGGCATTTTCAAAACCTAATAAATAGGTAAATTTGTTCTTTCCAGTTTCAGGAAGGAAGTGTATAACAATAATTACTAATATATTTTTTACAACAGCACTTCACCTCCATAATAATTTACACAATCTCTGTAGAAAATAGCAACTGCAATCAGTCTTGCAACTCTTCTATTTACAATACCACATATTCCCGGGCTTGTTCAAAAGTCTCAACGTCAACTGTCTGTTTCAGCTGCTCAAAATGCGATGGCCCCACCTGATTCTGGAGATCGACAATCTATAAATCAATAATTTCATTACAATTTGTGCATTTCTGAGTGATCAAAATAAGAGTAATTATATTTTATACCAAAAATGTTGATGTTACATCTTCATAATAAACCATCTTTTTGACCCTGCATTTCTTTGTCACACAGCTACAAAAACAGATAATTTTAAAGGAAAGTTACACCTGTATATTTCCCACAACCTGGTATCAAACAACTCTTTTTGGTCTGTGTGCTATAACTGTCTGTGAGTGTGTGTTAGTGTTTGACTTTCTCGCCCTTATGAAGGTACTTCGCAACAAGAGAAAGGTAGGGAATTGTGCAGCGAAAAACTGAATTTTCGACAGAAAACATCTCATTGCCGGGCCCTGGTTAAAAAAAAAAGTGGATAAATCCAGTAACTAAATTTAGAGACAAAATTCCTGTAACACATGGTGTGGACAGAATCATTGTTTTATGGGGCCTTGCTAATGAAAAATTGGTTTTCAGCAAAACATCTGATAATTGCTAGCGCCTAAACCATTCAACCAATTTTCTCCAAAATAAATATTCCCCGATCGATCTGAAAGAACTCGAGGCTTTGGGAGTTTCAAACACATATTTTGATATTTGAGGGTAGCTTGGAAGCCACAAAAATATTTTCAAAATTTTCTCAAAAACAGCACAACATTTTTTGAGCAAACTTTGTTCTTGGATAGCATAAAGGACACCGAAAAGAATGGCGCAGTTTCACGTTTGTTGAAAAGCTAGATTTTTTGAAAATTGCAAAAGCGCAATTTTTAAAAACTAATATTGAAGGGAGAGATTTTTCCCCTAAGTGAAATCTGTTTTCTTAAAGACAAGTCTTTATATAAGTTCAATTATTCGAAAATATGAGTAGTTTTCATATTTTGGGGTGAAATATATGCAATTAACACAATTTTTTTCTCTCTAAAACCACTCCAAATTTTTTCTTTAAAGTTTTTCCATGGACAGGAGAAAGGTTGCTTAAAAGAATGGCCCTACTTGTAATGGATGACGAACTGTTAAATCTGTAACTGCTGTTGGCAATAAAATTGGCTTTTTGTTCCTTTGATTAAGTCGATATAACAGTACAGTATTACAAAAAAAAATATAACAAAAGACATCTTATAAATATACTATATAATATCCCACACTGTACTCATAAAAGTTCTGGAAAATCCAACACCATAATCTATAATGAGATCAGAAAACAAATACATTTACCTGTTATAGGTGAAAATATAATGTCATAAAGCAAATAAGAAAATTAAAAGAAATACAAATACCTGAGACTGAAAGTAGTCTTTGAGGGCTATTGTATGAACAGGATCCGCAGCTGCTAACTGTTTCCGTCTATGGTCATGTTCTGTTTCATAATCTACATCATCGTCTTGGCCAAGACATGTGCTATCTCCAAGAAGTAATGAACTGTACAAGAGACCAAATTTACAATTCATAAGATATGAAAAACAACCTTAATCTTTATTCAATAATAAAAATCCTTTTAGTAACTACTGCAAAGATTTTTCTCTGTGGAAACATTACAATTCTGGAAATAACTTGGGAAGTATCTTGCAGAGTATCTAGAGAAAAATAATTCAGAATCTTTTAGAACAAAAGTTGTCTTCAAATTCACTATTCAAAAGTACTAATCTTGATTCAAAACTAAAAATTTTTCCTTCAAACTATTTGTTCCTAGTTTCTCAGGTTTCTCATTCATTACATTAAAAAACTTCTTTTAAAGAACCTGGGCATGCCTTCTTTTGCTCATGTTTATCATTACCACAAAAAAGAGATGCTATTAATACTTTATTTCCTTGTACCAAATAATTGATTATAATTTAATATATATTTTGTATTTTGTCACCAAACTATTTCATTTATCTACAAATAAATACATTGCAACCTTTACATTCAACTTAACAACAGTAAATAACTTTAGGTTGTTTGTTTGTAAATGAAAGCACTCATCTGCAAAGCATTTTTAATTTTTTAATTACAGTAATGAAGGAAACTGTTTTCAACAGATGTTTTTGTTATTAACTATGTTTTAATCAATCTGTGATGCCCAATAGAGATGAGTGAGTGAGATTCATACGCATAGTAACTTACTCTATTTGTGCACCCATATCATCTGTCTTTATAATGTCATTAAGCACCTCTGTTACATTCAACAATATGCCACAAAAACGTTCCAGAACAGCACTAGAAAGAAAATTAAGAGTTTCAATATTTTTTCAACACAGCAATTAGTATAAAAACATCTCCAATTAGGCATATTTAACAAGTTCTTAGTTCAATAAAATTCATACCTAGACTGAGCAGTCAGCAATGATGCCATTGCAAGTCCAAGAAGTTTACGTCGATCAAGTTGCGTCACAAGAGCCATTTTATCCAACCAAACGTCCAAAATACGATTTAGAACAGTTTCCTGTGACTCATGTATTAGTTGTGCAACTTTAGCCACAGCCTAATTACACATCAGTAAGGTACAATTCAAAACACAAGAAAAAATAAACTGTACATATACACACTAACATGTACAAATTTAGAACATCTCCATTATAATATTTCCTAATATACATGTAGTGGTGAAACTTCAAAATAGAGCCTGGAGGCATTGCTAAATAATAGCCTCCATGTCTCCTCAGCATTTTATGAATGACAAAGTAAAACAATATTCAAAAAGAAATTATCTAAATTCAAAAAAGTGTTCCACAGATATACCATAAACTTGTTACAATATATTAAAATTGTAATGTAAACACTCTTGTAATGAATGTCAACTGACAACTTTTTACTTATGGTACTATTAGGTTTTTATTAATTTTAATTTCAAAAATGTTCTATTTACAGTAGCTTCAGTTACAGGAATCTAAATGTCAATTAACATTAGGCGCAAATTTCATAAAACAGGAACTACTTGGATTTGTATGACTTGAAATATACTTCGTATACTGAATCCAATTTTCACATTTTAGTCTTTAATGTAGTATTGCTAGACATATGACCACCTGAGAAACCTGTTACATTCTTTGTTTGTACAGAGGGCAATGGAAGTGGGGAGAAACCGGAAAAACAGATGTAAGGAGATTCCTAACATCCTCTAACTCTAAGCAGGATAAACCTGCAGTATTGAAAGTACAAAGGTAAAATAAATAAATAAATGTATTTTAACTCCAATACTTGTATGCCAAGACCCCAAGACAAATCATTATTTTTGTTCACCAGTATCTACATTTTTTAGTTAATTTGTGAATTAGCAACTGTTTTTGAGAAATACTGACAGGAACCTTTTCAATTCTTTAGCAGTGAAGTGTTTTTGAAGACAGAATTATAACTGTTTAAAACATAGTCTAGCATAATACTTTATTGGTACAGTAAAATCTGTCTAAACCAGAATCTGTACAAGCTGGAAACCTGCTTTAAATGGAAAAGGTCTCTGACTTGCGCAGCTAATGGCATTTTCAACAATATAAAACGGAACCTGTCCAGCACGGAAATGTAAGGGTTTTCAATGTTCTGTAGCAAAAGAAAACCTTATAAAATAGAATTTCTGTGAATTTAATGCAATTGGCAGAGAGACAAGAGAAACTGAAATAAATACATCAGCAAGTCTGATATAATTTCTTTGTCCCAGTGATATGCGTTTCAGTTGTGGCAGCCGAACAATCAAGGCCTTGGGTCCCTTGTCTCTCAAGGTCTTTACGGTAGGCTAATTCTCTCTCCCGGCTTTCTCAGCATGAGAAGTTGTACGGGCATGCCTTCGGTCATGTGGGAATGTGTAAGGGCACGTCTCTGCCCCGCGGTGAGAATCATAACCCCTCAACCAGAGCCGCGTTGGTCAAGGCCATGCGAAGGAATCAGAAGGACTTGGTCATCTGGGCTGTGGTGCTTTGTGCATTGAAGAGACCGTGGGCAGTCCCGCTGAAGCCACTAGAGAGTGAGGTCGTGAACTTTTATCCTGCATACCATTGGTTGTGAGTTTCACAACCAGTTTATTAATGGTTGAAAAAACATAGAACTCTAAAATATTTGTTTTTCAACTTAAGAAAACAAAATAGAAAATATGTTAATAAGTGGGAAAAAATAATATTATGTTGGTGCACAGGTTGTGATGATTGACATTTCAATTGTCACAAATATTTTTCGCTGCATTGCTGTTTCCCATATGGCATCTGAGGTGGGTGTGCTGGAAATGTCCATACTATTGTATCGTATGGCGGCTACGAGCAACTGGTGGCAGATGGATCAAATGATGGATACTGATTCACAATGTCATTCCTGCATGACAACACATGGCCGCATACAATAGCTCTGACTTGTTATAAATTCACGAAATTGCGCAGGCAACTTCTACAACACTCTCTTTACTGTTTGGATTTGTTCCCATGTGATAATCGTTTGTTTGGTCCACTAGGTGGAGAAAGATTTGGATACCATGCTGTGGTCAAACCAAATGTTCCCAATTTGCTACTATGGTAGCTGTCTTCTCTTTTCCATGAAAGAATCAAAAAATTTCCTAAGCAATGAAGAAAATGAATTTCTGTTCCAGAAAACTGCGATGAAAAATAAGTGGCTCCATTTGCATTTTTATGTATCACCAATAATGTTATGTTACTAAATTTGGATTCATATTTCAATGATCTTAGTATATAAGCTTCTAGCCGATCCGGTGGCCGAGATCACTAAGGCAGTAGTGCTGTAGCGATCTCGTACCAAAAGATCGCGGGTTCGAGTCCCGCCTCGGGCATGGTTGTATTGTGTTCGTCCTTTCACCCCCTATCATCCATCATCCTCCATCTCTCATTATCATCTTTCTGAATAACATTCAGAATTGTAACTCGAGGATTTATCCTCACCTCAAGGTGAAAACCTTCGACAGTCGACCATGAACACTAGAAGTGAAATGGAACGACTCAAGTGGTCCAATGTGGCCAATCAAGTTAATAATAATAATATAAGCCTCTGATGTCTGTCAGTATGTATGTACATATGAAATGTTGAATGAAATTAATATCAGCCTACGTAGCAAGTTATTGTAAAACGTTTATTATGTATTATGCATTTTTTATTAAATGCAAGGTCATGCACAGCAGTAATGTTCATACCTGACTGAAAACTTCTCGAGAGCAAAGCAATATCCTGGCCATAATAGACAGATACATTGACATCACTATCGGATATTCTTCTCCTTTATAGATTGCCCTAAAATTAAATTTTGAAAGTCAAAAATAAATAGTGTAACATGATCAAAACACATGTAGTTTCAATAATAAAGCAAATAATCATGTGCATGAATTTTACGGCTATTAATAGAGCAAAGATGTTTTCTTTTTTAAGTAGAAATTCACTTACTCAAAAATCCGTGTAAGCATCGGTTTGACTAATTCAACTGAAATAGAAGGAGCTGCACGCAAGCACATCTCAACGAGTCGCATTGTCATTACAATTCCTTCTGATCTTATATCAGAAAGCATATCATTGCATGAACTAATTATTAATTCACCATAGACCTACAAAATTAAAAATAAGCATAAATATTTCAAAACTAAATGTATCACACATCAAAATTAGAAAATTTAATCTAGTTCTAAAAACTAACCTTTAAAAATTCTTCTGGAGCAAGTAGAATGTTAGCTTGGATAATGTAAAAACATGTTCGAAGATTTTCTGAATTGTTTTCTAGAAATGGAACAGTTCCAAATCAATTGATTAGAGCAGTAAATCATATAATCCCTACGAAACATCATCTTCCAAGCACTGACTCACCATTCTGTACATGTTATTTTTCATCTCTTAATAACTATAAGATATAAAATTGGTAATGAATTGTTAATTAAATTTTGGCAAAATTTTGATGTCACTACCTTCCAGAGTAAAATAGCCAATAGCTAACAACAAATTGAGACAAAGGTAGTCAAATTCAAACAACAAAAATCATGAGGAAAGGGTTTTAAGTTCACTATCTTTTTCTCTGAAAACAATACTAGATCATACTTATGACTCATTACCTAGCAATGGAGGCATGTTACGAAAGAGCTGCATCAATTCTTGCGTCATGGCTGTAGAATTTTCTAGAACAGCAAGCCACAATTCCAAACCATCTTCTAAAAGGTACACATGACTATCCTGTTGAACATCAGTACTCAGTTGCACAACAGGCAACAAAAATGGACTCAATGCTTCACTTGATGACCCCAAAGCCTATAAAAATATTATTTTATTGATGGTAACTCTTTTCAAAGTCTGCAAACAACTAATACATACATACACTCAAAAACAAATTCATAAAATATGAATTTTTTTAAAAATACAAATGTCGTTCAAAGGTGTGATCAAAAACCTGTAAACTAAACCACCACAAAACCCTGTTCATTTACTTTTCTCAAACTCTGAAATGACATTATGTACAATTTTGGTTCTCAACACACAGTAATAAAAGGACAAAATATTTGAAGTTGAGTAAACCGAGGACTCTTTAATTTTAAAGCGGGAAAGGTAGCTCCAGGCACCAACTGATGTCACTGCAGTGCCTATGACCAGGACGTTCTAGGTTCAAGTCTCAGAATTTTCGACTGAAGCTAGGTTGAATTCAGTCGCTGACTGGAGGAGAATTCTAGTGGCTGGTTGTTTTGATCAGTAGTTGTCTGTGGTTTCTCCACGTCGATATCAGATGAATGCGAGAGTAGTTTCCTAACAAATTGGCCATGGACCACATGCAATCTTTCCATTTCCTTCCTTTTTCCTATCCTCACTCCTCATTTACACATACTACACCAACATAAATGCCAGGAGACTGTTCAGGAGCTTATAGCTTGCCCCATCTGGGGTGGTGCCCTGCAAGTGGGATATACCTGGTTTGGGGGAAAACCCTGCCACCCAACAGGTAGGGCAGCATTGGTTCTCACCATCCAACAGGGGAAGATAGCCGCTGCCGCCTCCTCCTCCTCCTCCTCCGGAGGAAAAAACATGCACTTGACTTACGGGACTATTGATCTCAGCCGTTGACTATTGATCTTCGCATTGCACTCAGAATCACTACTCAATTAATGAATCGAATTTTAATACTTTTGGTAGTATGTCCAATGGTATGCAGAAAGCAATACTTTTAAATTTGATGGCCTGAACGCACTCATACAAAATTTTATTAACAATTTGTGACACAAATTTTTAAAATAAAAAACTCAAAACCATAGATAATGTGTTTATAAAGAGAAGTATTTTCACAGATTTATGTAAAAACTAAACATACCACACCTTCACATTTCAAACAATTTGGCTTCACAGGAAAATAAGAATATATGTGATTGTAAAACAAAAATGTTGAATAGTTAGTCAAGAAGTAATCAATCAAGTTAATCAAATTACTACCTTTACAAGGTGTACCAATGTTGATACAATTGCACAACGAAGCATATTGTGTTCTGAAGATTCTTCCCAAAGCAGTGGCAGGTACTGAATAAGTGATCCTGAGTGAGGACGAATTGCAAATCCAACTCGTTCCACGATAAATGAAAGGACGTACAACACATGCATCTACAAAGAAGAAACATAAGTTAAATGTTTCATGAATTGACAAAAAATCAATTTATATTAACATGATATTCACTGTGATACAACTCAAGAAAACTTCCAATTTATCAAATCAGATAAAGACTAAATACAATTTTTAATCACAAAATTTTTCAATTCATGTAATTTGTTATACATTTGCATACATATTTTATTAGGTGAATAAAGTATAATTGAACACCCTTAAGAAAATAATTTGTACAAAAAATGTATCAATTGCATTTTCACATCATAAATGATTGAAAATATTGAATGTCAATTGAAGTAGAATTCAATGTTGGAAGAAAACCATGCAAATCTTTGGCTTCTTTACACTACTTTCTTGCAATAACAGTACTGAAACCTTACCTTAGTATCACATTCATGGGCTTCTTTGAGAAGAGCAAATAAAAGAGAGAATGATGGCTCAAGGAATGGAAGAAACTGGTCAGTGATGAATTCAAAGTCATCAATAGCAAGCTTCAGTGTATTAGAGGCAGTCAATCGAATAGCCATATCTTCGTCAGCTTGCAACAGAGGCAAAGTCACAGAATACAACGCTGGCCTTAACTCTGGTGAAAATTTCACTCCTGTCCATTGGCCCACTAACCATGCAACTCTTCGCCTTATGACCCTATAATTTCCAGCTTTCACTTTGAGTTCTTGAGTTAGAGTAGTAGAAAACCACTGATCAAAATTGACCTAAACACAAGTACAAAATCACAATTGTGTATTTAAGTAACAATTTAAGACTTAACAAACTATACTAGGTGAATTAGAAACCATACACAGGGTACTGATAAGCTTTTTGCCTACCTTAGAAAATATTGCCAATCAAAAGAAAATTAATTTATTCAATACACACATGTTTTAAGCCTATACATTTATTTCAACAGTCATAACAATTTCAAAGCCTTAAAAATTGTTTTTCTTATGCAGGAAATGTATGTTATTTGTCACTGCTTTATTCGATTACTCCATTTACTCCAGCCAGTCATGAATTTTCTGCACTGTGATGAGGAATTTATGAGCAAAAAAATCTTTGTGATCACCAACCTTTGAGGAAAACAAAATTTTTGTTGTAACAACTGCCTTCAGATCATGTTCCAGGTTAAGAACATATCAATACCCTTTTGTATTAGCTTCCTTTTTTCATGAATTTTTTTACCTCATGATATAAATCAAAAGCAGCAAGGCCAACTGCATTGTAAACAGCATCTTTACGTAAAATAGCATTTAAATCTTCAGGAGGAACCAAAGCATGATTATTTTGTATCATCTCCAACAGAACAGGAACAAGTGTCACTCGGAACTCATGAAATAACGCTAGGAATAATGATTCAGTGCAAGGCTGAAATATGCAGTGAATTCATTTTAACTATTTGAAATCTGCAACTTTCAGTAAAAAATATACATTACATAAAACTATTTTAAAGACAGAATTTTTTAAATATATTCTACATGAAAACACAACACTGTTAAAAAAAGCTACTTAAAGAAAAAGTAGTATCTATCTCGACTAACCATGAAAATTCTCCCTCACAACACATGAAAACACATAAGAAATTTTTTAATTGCTGAATGTACCTTAAAACCAATATAATAGTAACTTAGTTATAAATGGAGCTTCAGCATTAAGAGCTAGAGAAATGTAAAATGGGTGGGCAGCAAAAAAATATAAATTTGAAATTCACAGGTTACAGATTTATAAATCTTGGGCATTAAACTCATCATACTCAAAATATAAGATTAAAAGTTTTTTCCAATTGTAAATGAAATATTCAAAACACATCACAAGTCACTTTATTATTTCCATCAATCTTGATGGGGTGGAATGACTCAGGAACAGCAGGCCTCTGCAGCGTGTCCAAGAAGTCCTAGGGTTCGACACTTAACAGTGGCAGATTTTTGACACCAGCTACATAGCTAGGTAAAATTCAACCACTCTATGGAGGAATTTCTAACAGGTGGATGATATTTGGTACTTTGTAGTGGTTTCTCTGATCAATATGAGGCAAGTCCTGGTAACAAACAGTCTACAAACTTGGTGTGATCTTTCCTTCCTCCTCCTCGTCTCCTCTTTTCCCTTTACACTCAGTTACACTTACATGCACTACACTACCATACAATTGAGGATCTTGATACTTGTCCTCCTGAGGGAGATACCTGGAGGAGGGAAATGCACAAGCCGCTGTGTAGGTCTGGATCTCACAATCTAGCAAGAGAGGAACACCGCCACCTTCTGGGACTTATTATGCACTACACTTATGGTACTAATGATCAAAGTAGATAACGTCCAGAAACACAAAATAGTTGATTAATCCATCAATCTTCAAAACTTTGTCTCTAGTTTCATTAGGGGACTTTTCAAAATTTCAATTCTACACAAGATATACACTTATTTAAAAATTGCATTCCACAAACCAGATATTTCTTTTCTGCTGAATTGATAAAAGTGAAAATAATCAACAATATTACATGAGAAGAAGAACTATATATTGTAACATTAATGTAAAATTTCTATTATAGAGGCTATAGTCAGTATTTCAAACCAACATGACACTTTCAAATGATGTAATATACATGAATTTATGAAAGTAACCTGAAAATTTACAACAAAGGAGCAATTTTAATAATCAAAGAGATGCAAAAATAGATTTTATTTAAATCATGTACTGCAGAATGAAAGGCTCAAGGCCTCTTTCTGGATTTCATTTACACTGATGATAGTTACCATAATTTTAATTTAAAGAGAAATTAAAACTGGATGAGGTTTGCAAATAATAAGTTGGCAACTGTGCCTACAACATGGATTTTCCCTGTCAGCCAAGTATCAACTCTGACCATATGATACTCTCAAATATACACTCAATGACAACCAATTTTCTAATTGTACAGTTGTTCCACCCTCTTTTCAAAACATTTCCCATACATATAGCACTGTGAATTGAAAAATAACTTATCTTCGCAGTGGTCTAGCTGAAGTTTATATTTAGTTGGGCAATACTGATGAAGTAACACTCAATCACTTCACTTAAACATTTAAACTATGGAAATGATTATAAATATTTTATTAAAAATCAAAATATGTTGCCACTTTAAACTTGGGATGTTTAAAATTTAGTAAACATCAATAATCAAAATCACCAAGCCCGTTCTGCATTATCAAATTGTTTGAAGTTCAAAATGAACAAATAAAAGATCCAGTAGACTTCAATGTTACAGTGTTGGTGGTTACAGAAGTGGGGCAAAAGTATAAAACCACTAATGTAATGGGACAATTGAATGCACTTATTGTGCTCATTAATTCTCAAGAATATTGACTTTAATTAGTCAGGTGTCTAGGATTTTGATGAAAGGTAATGCTGTCCAAAGCTTTTACATATAGACTTAGATTGTTGTTAATATTGGTTTTTATTGGAACAGAAAAAACTCTTACTTTGTGTCTACTTTGTCATTTTCTATAATGAATAGTTTTAATAAAATTATTAAATCTCATTGATTTTAAATAATTATAGCTGCAATCTCAAGTATTCACTTAATGTTAACTTTTTCCATGACAGAATCAAATTAGATTTATCATAGGTTCAGATTTTTTATGCTCTTGTTTTTACAAATCCCTTGTATCATCCACTGTTTATAGGATTGATATTATATGTAATTTTCGAACAAATAATTTTAGTTAATTGAATTAATATTTCATACAAAACAGAGACAACAGTTATGAGTAATAAAATTTATTGTCAAAATTATTTTCAATCAAGAATGTTGCTTCCTTGATCTTAATACCTTTAAATAATTGGAATTAATAATAATTACATTTCAAAGTAAATTAAATGAACACAACTTTTAAACAACACATTTCAATTATATTTTTAATTGATATCTAATGTTCAATTGGAGTCCTGAAATGAAATCACTCAGAACAGACCCCCCTCCCCCCAAACTATGCTCCTTTGCTCAGTCTGAGTATCTAGAAGACTACTTTAACTTTTTAAAAACAAATTAGAAATTGAACACTTTTTAACAGTATAGTTTTATATATCTATTTTCATTACAATTCTGTTTATTGAAAACTACCCAATGATTAAAACATGCACAAGTTGTCACAAGAACAGAGCTTTGTACTTTTCTAGTTAAATTTTAAACTTGCACTCATTACATATATTCAGAAAATCCAAAGGTTAAATAAAAGAATACTACACTACTTACTCTCAAGCTGTATTTCCAGGATTCACCCCCTTCATCCGTGGCTGCGAAGTAATCATAAGACATTAATTTTGCCAATATGATGAATGTTTAAATACCGAGTGTTTAGAAGGTAAGAAAATAAAAATACAATAATGAATGGGAAAGAGATGGGGAAGTATGAGAATAAAACAAAGGAAGTTACAACGACTAAACAAATTGTTATTTAGAAGTGAATATAGAAGAAATTACAATAGAAATGAATGATAAAACTAGAAATTGAGAGAAAAAGAAAATAATGAGGAAGAAGAAGAGATTACAGGTAGTAACACAATATGCAGAAGAAAGAGACTTAAAACAGAAAAGGATGAGCAAAAGAGTAAATTAGAAATGTTGGAGAAGTGAACATGAATATTGTTGTTGATTACTACAATTATGACACGATAGGGAAAGACAAACAAAAGAAAGTAAAGGCATGCAATTTTTTTCCAGACGGACATTTCTTGAACTACTGACACACAATAATTATACTAATATTTACTTTCATAAATTTTTGAGCTCTAACGTACCAAAACTTTCAGGATCCGAGTCCCAAAGCTCTAGATCTTCTCGTGTTAATAGAAAATAATGAGTTACTAGCTTGGTACACATTTCTGTCAAAGTTGATGCAGTGAAAAAATTTAACTTGATTTGATGTGCTCGTAATGTAGCAGGTTCTTTAGTTTCTAGAAAAAAAGTACATTTTAGAAGTATTTAATCATTAAGAAATAATGACCACTACAAAATCATTAATAAATATTAATACAATATTTTTATTATTTGCATATAAACATAAGTTATTCCAAAATGTAGCTTCTTAAAAATATAATTCAATTACATAATTGTAATTGTAATATTCAATTACATAATATTGGATTAATACAATTATCTCAAAATGCAGCTAATGTTTCCTACTACAAATTGTTTGATGCCTTCACACAATCTTAATTTAGAAACGACAATAAATATCCACCATTGCTATGAAAATGTATTATAATGACGTTCAAACTAACCTTCAATAACTTTGGCTGCTTTATATTCTGCACACAATAATATGCCTTTGACAAGATTTAGGCATTGGATTATAAACCTCTCAAAAAGCTGAGGTTCTCCAGCAGGAGTAAACACATAAAATACAGCAAATTCAAGAGAAGGTTGAATTAAATCAACATATGAGAATGGGTGGTGCTCCAGCACAGCTATAAGAACCTTAGTTAGATGAATAATAAATTTTTCACTTAACTCAACAAGGTCTGACACTTTACTCTGTAACGATTTTCCTGAAATAAGAGTATAATAATAAATAACACTATTAATCTACTTATAGATTTCATTAATTTTTAAACCTCTACCAATTAATTAACAAAGAAAGAAAAAAGAACATACTACACTCTAGCATTGTTTTTGCTCTATCAAACACCATATTCAGGAAAAGCATAGCATCTTCTGATTCATGAGGTTTCTTAAATCCATGTACTACCAATTTCCGGAGGATGCGTAGTGAAAGAAGAGCTTTTTCAAGAGATGATCCCATTTGCTGATCATTTTCTGCTACCTAAAAATGTGAACAAAACAGAAAGAAAAGTTACATTATTTTTATTTCTACCGGAAAATATTGCAAATTATGACTAAACATAATTTAAACATTGTTGCGTACAAGTTGAAAAGAGACATTCTGCATCAGTTCTAGAAAAACCATGTTGCAGTTTAATAGTATGATAGAAAACAAAAATTAAGCAAACTGGGAAATTTGTACAGGATTTTCAGTGAATAAGGAAAATCTGATAGCTTGAACAAATCCAGTATGCATCACAATCACCAGCAGGAAAGTTATTTTTCTAGCAGTTCTTTATTGTTGGTAATCTTTAGAAAATAGAAGAGAAAATACACTTGTTTGATTTGCCAAACCCAATCCGCACATTTTTAGTTGTAAAATTCACACAACAATTCCTAGTTATTTAAAAAAGAAGTGAGGAATGCAACCTGAACAATTAAGTTTGGGCAGAGGAGTAACTTAACAGGTTTACAATACAATAATTTACATGATAGATCTACAGATACAAACAATTTTATTTATGACAGGTGACCACAAATGTATATTAAATAATATTTATTTAATACTAACAACTTGTAATTACTCTCAACAACTCGGTACATGTAGAAAAAGAATTTCGATTCCTATGAAGTACCTCAAAGAGCCTTCTGCCCATACAAGCACTGTCAAAAACTGCCAAGCAACCAAACATTAAAGAAAGTCACAACATACCTGAGACAGGAAAGTTTGTACATGACTATTCCATAAATTCAGAACAAAACTAAAAACATTAGCTGTAAGGTCTTGAAACATTCTCCTATCGCCAGCAAGACGTTTGGATGACAAGGTCTTAATAACATGATGCAACATTAGTAATGCACGATGCTGTACTAATGCTTCATCGCTTTTCACAGCTGACAATAACGTAGGCATTAAATCAGGCCATTCTCGTGGACAATCAAATCTGCAAAAATTAAATTTTGGGTAATACTATAAACTAGAAAAGAAAGATAAGTGTCTAATATATAACATTCAAAAACGTCTAACAGGTGAACAATATGTTCAACATTGGCTTTCAGAAGCACAAATAGACCTTTATTATTATCAATTATACAAAATCTTATAGAATCAACAATAACTACTATGGTAACTATTTGTAAATACAATTAACACAAAAATCTTTATTTTACTTCAAAATCACAAGAATTATTCCGGAGAATTTTGTCGTTTGCATTCTTTTGACATGTGCCAGTCATCTGGCTTGACCATTATCTATTTCTCTATTGCATTTTTAACTTTTAATTTATTTCTGGGGTCTTTACTTACTAAATGAAATAAATTGGTTACGCCAATGTACGTAATAACATGCCTCGTACCTTCCTTCATAATCTTCACATTTTACAGCTATCACATTGTACACATTAATCAGTTAAAAATTGACAAATCAATTAGGAGAGATGTTTTTACCTTCATTTTTATGTTTATCAGGTATATACATTTGGAAATACGACACACTGCTACTCTGTTTTGTCTCTCCCTCTTTCTCCTCATTGACATTTTCACCAACGTTGAAGTGCTTTATATCTCAATGTCAAGACTGCAATGAATATTAATTTTACGACATATAAGGTCTACACCAATGAATCTTCAGGTAGACGCCAATCTCTTCCTTCTCAATTTAATTTCTCATATTCAATTAATTCAAAAAATAAGAGTTCTGAAAGTAACTGGTTTTCAAGGCATTTTGAAAGTAAAATATTTAAGATTTTGCCTTCAAAAGTATCCATGCACACCCTCCATATTTTCAAAATAAGCTGCTTTTATCAATGGTTGAAGGGAAATACTTTCCTAACTTGTCCTATAATTTCAATTACCCAACGACAAATTAACTAGTCCTCAGTATTTTGAAATTAATGCTAATGTGGATGTTAAACCCTTACAAAAATCCTAACTACTTTTATATTTTCTCTTTTAATTACCTTTAGAGAAATTTTATTTTTATTTTTATTCTTTAAATTTTCTCAGCTAAACTTATTATTATTTTTTTGTACCCCTATTATTTCTTACCTGGCTACTTTTGAAATAAGAACTGCCAATTGTGTAGCTACTTGGTTCACTGGTTCACGGAAATTTGATACCAAACCTTGGCGAATTGTAACCTTCTCTGCTTCATTGATAGCACTGATAAGAGAATAGGACAAGCATTAATACAAACTCATACACAACAGGAAATTTACATCAGTAAAACTTACTGTGGAGCTGTTTTACGCCAATAACGATCCACACCATTCTTGAAATACAGTACAGCTAGCCATCGAACATTAACATCAATGGAATGGTTTGAGAAGATGTTCTAAATCCAAATGAAGCCACCATTCAATGTGAAACCAATAAGAAATAATTACACAAGTATTTTCAGAGCCCAGCAAAACAATAAAGACACATCTTGTTTGGGGGAAAGCAATTACACTTTCTCTTCTTTCTTCTTTAATACAGGACATGCATAATTTAATTTTTCAGTTAATTTTTAACAAATATTCACAACCAGTACACTTCATTCTTTATAAAAACGTAATAAATCAAAGCTTAATAAGATTTAGTTTTGCTTTGTTACAATTAAAGACATTTTCATAAAAATCAGGCAGATGAGATTTTACCAAATATTAAGTTTTAAACCGGAGAATGAATATTTAACAATATCAAGATCATTTCAGTACACAAGCAAGTACAGAAACTGGGATAAATAGCATGGGGTAAAATAAGTTTAAGTATTGTGCATCACATGCAAATATAAATCACTTCAGCCTCACTATACTAATGAAATCCAAATTGTTTGGGTTAATTATATAATTATTCATTTTTACCAATAATATAGAGTAGAATCCAGGTTCTGTCTCCCATTCTCTCAAACGAGATTCAGCAGGCTTAAGAATTTCTGCATTCTGGTTGGCTGCATGTCGAAGTGTTTCAAGCACGACGGACTGTGCTGTTGTCATGTCCATTTTAATATTTAATCAAGCAATCAACAATGACTAGTCATGAGCACATCTAACCTACATCTCCCTCACATCAAACATTCTTGATTATGGAAAACTTCATCAGTCACTTCATTAACTTATTTATTCAGGTACATGAAGTTTATACTCTGAAAAATTGAAACTGTATTAGAATATTGTATCAAATTAAAAATTTAATGACTTTTAAAAAAAATGTAAAATACCGTAAACGTAAAACATAATCGAAATAATAAAAAAAAGTGTTTAAATGTGACATCAAACGCAATTACGTATGCTATTTTCTAGATTAATTCATTCGTACTGTCACAAAAAACCTTCTCATTTTTAATTAATGTTATTCACATGTGTAGAGAAAAAAATACACGAACTTTATACACCAACGAAGCGTAATTCTGCACAATAAATTGACCGACATTCCTAACATAACCTCAACATATACGTAGCGGCTAGTAATGTCATCCTTATAAAGGATTGCAGTACTTCACCTTACAAGTAATATAAGTGATATCTAAAATCTTAATGAATTAAATACGTGAAACAATGACATGAAACATGTCATACTTATTAAAAAGAAACGCACACACGTTACTCACACACTGAGAACATGACACACTCGTGAATATAACATACTTCCTCCCACTTCTCTCATCAGTCAACTGACAGCAAACTAGAATTAATTTCTGATCATCACTGACATTTCATATTTTGAACAGGATCAAAATATTAGACCTAAGCAATGCGGGCGGCGAATACTTGTTCCTGTGACTGCATGTTAGAAACCACAGTTTGCAATCCAGCGTTCAATCGACTCGACGAGTAATTTGAAATTAAAATAACACTCTATTGCTCTTAAGTCATTCCTCATATCAAACTAAGCTTCACACGCAAAAATGCAACGTGAAATTCGAGTTACTTGGATTTACCTCTTACGCATGTGATATTCCTTACTTCATTTGTTTACGAAGATGTGTATACCGGTATTCACTCCCTTTAGGATTGTACTGCTGTTCTCTCGATTCTCTGGGATCTCGCTCACGATGAAAAATGGCGGGGAAACTGTTTTCTCCACTTGGGTTTACTTACATTGGAGATATTTATAATTCAATTGTATGTTTATTTTTATACTACCCAGCGTTGACTTATATAAACAAATACTTTCGTGAAAAATCTAGCCCACAACTACGTAGCAAATGTTGTTTTTCTTCTATAATTCTAAATCCAATAATCGAAATCCTTGAAAAAGTCTGAATTTAAAATTTGTTGCGTTTGATAAACATTATTCTTATTTGTTACATAAATAAGTAATGCTTTAATATTTACTTACTCGTCTATGTACGTACACTATACGTAGTGTAGAGAAAGCTATGTAATGCCTCAGTAAAAAAACGTCAGTTCTTTGACACGAAAATTCATATAATAGGTAATATTTTACAGAAAAAGTGAATAAATCTTGTTCCAATATGTAGTAAACTACTACCTCTAACACACCGTGAAGTCAGAATCAATCAGATTTGTGGGTCCTTGATACAGAAAAATAGGTTTGCGGCAAAACATCTGCCCGTCATCTGTGATCAACACTAGCGCCTACACTATTCGCAGGTTTTTTCCAAAATGAATACTCCCAGGCCGATCTAGGCCCATCTAAAAATACTCTGCGATTTTGAAAATCATTCTTTAAATTTTGAGGGTAAATGAAGCCTCTGGGACAAAATTTTGTCAAAAATGGCTCCACAATTTTTCTTTAAATTTCTTGTAAGAGTAGAGTGAAATACACTTATGAAGATGCCATAGGTTCGATTTTCACCATTAACTCTGAATTTTCGTAAATTGCGAAAATTTTAAATTTGTTCGGCATCTTGCTACAATTACAGCATTTAAGTTATCGATTTTTTCGTCAAATAAAATTTGTTTTCGTTGTCAATTATTTATTTATTTACTGCTATGTACATTTTTTTAAATTTTAATAGTTTTACGAATGTAATAATTTTGACGTCTCTCATGATTTTAATAATAATAATAATAATAATAATAATAATAATAATAATAATAATAATAATAATAATAATATTTATTGAGTCACATAGAGAAAGCTATGCAATTCAATATTTACATTGCCGGAAAATTTGTATTCATTATTGTATTTTGTGAGTATCAGAGATCCAAATGTCTATTTAAATGTCTCAAAAAATCAAAATTTTTCTGCGAAAATGAGCTTCATATTCCGCATTTTGAGAAACATTCAAACGCTATTTTTTTCAAAACGACTCAAAACTTTTCTTCATTTTTTGTGTAGATACTTTTAAATATCATCTATGCAGGCGATCCCACAATCCTCACGTCGCGTCTGTGCAAAGTTACAATTCAAAGGAACCTTAAAAAGGGATTTTGTGACCGATAATTCGAGACCATATTGTTTCAATACTAGATATCAATACTAGTTCTCCCTTTGCTGAAGTATAGCTCGTTAGTATTTATGCTTAAAAGCCTCGGCGCTCCGGCCTGCTCCTTGTTATAGCTAAAGGTTCCGCTACTCACCGTTATAGCTCTGCTCGCCGACCTTTCCTCGATCGGCTGCTACATGCAAATACACGGAAATTCGCTTTACAAACATAGAACGTTTCATCTTCGAGGCTTTGAAATAAAGTACTTAGGCATCTCCATTACTTCATGAGTAACGGCAGCAATGTTCTTCACGATCACTGATTCAAATTGTGCACAAATTATGACAATGGTCATACCCATAAGCTTTCACAGCCGGTTTTTACATAACATAATTAGTTGTTTAATTATGATTAGTTGTTTCCGGGTTTTTAGCCGTGGTCCAACGGAAAAGTTTCCATAAAAAAGAAGCAAAAAGAGCGGGAGCCCGCGACGCAGCTGCGAAAGGGGGTCGTAGTACCCGCGCCCGTTTGGCTATTGAGGCGAGGGGTTGTATGAGATTTTATGGCAGGACACGCCCACGCGAAGGAGGGTTTGTCGGCAGCCGGGTCCTCGCCAAATGTCAAGTGGGCGTCTCCTTTTCACCCATGCGACCGCTCGTAAAAGGTACCCAACGCTAAGGGCGGCTTCCCACGGCGCGGCCGCGGCGCGCTTCCTTCAAGGAGCAGAGCCCTTCCGACGCAGCCACGGCCGCACCGCCGCCCGCCGTGGAAGGGGGTGGGGTCTGGAGGGGTACGTTTCGCCGACCCTCCGGCGACGACGAACACAGGGACCGGAGCAGGGAGAACGCTGCGGCCGCGGCGCAGTGGGAACGCTCCCATTTAAGGCCGCTTGCCCACGCCGCGGCAGAAGCGCGCGAACGTCAATCATCAGGGCTCTTCGCCGACGACAGACAAAGGGACCGAAGCAGGTACCTGCTGCGGTCCCTTTGTCCGTCGTCGCTGGAGTTCGGCGTCGGCTGCCGCAGCAGCCGCCACCCGCTGCGCGTGGGAAGGCCTCCATTCAAACCAATGCTCTGCTACGCGCCGCGCTGCCGCGCGGCGCGCTGCGGTCGCGCCGTGGGAAGGGGCCCTAATTGCGCCCTCTCGGGAGACAAATTTACAACCCAACGTTCAGCGGCGCACGTGCGGATGCGAAATAAACAGGCCCGAAGTTTTTTTATAACAGCAACGGACATTCTGGCCGTTGAGAAAAGGGTTCCCGTGTGATTGGTTGGACACACGCCTCCACCCTGCTCCGCGAAATTCATCCCCGCGTATCGGGAGGATCCACGATGTTTGAGGGAGGAGGTACCGAAGTTTGCTGATACCAGGCCCCCGCTCTGAAGTCACTTGTTTTCTTGATTCGGCCACGAGTGTTCATTCGATTTCATAGCTCGGCCACGAGTGGTCGATTCGATGTCTTGACTCGGCCACAAGTAGTCACTTGATTTTTTTTTAACTTGGCTCCGAGTATTCACTTGAGTTGAGTAAGGCATTCACTGAAACTCAAGTTATTAACTTTACTTCGCTTGCTCACTTGACCTCACTTAGCATTTGAAGCCTCTTGCGGAGGGAAGTTGACCCCTCGCGCACTCTGTCAGAATTTCAGGCGAAAAGGGATGCAGTCTCGCGCCTAAAGTCAATTTACCGCGTTATGACAATCGTCCGCGACTCCTGATATGGAAGTTGATTGGCTTCCGATCAATCATCGGCGATGAACACCGTTGCTGCCTGAGGTTTGTCACGCCGTGTTAGCCGCCTCTGCTGGAAGGGGTCGACCCGCTCCATAACGCAGGCCGACAACTCCACCGCCGTCG